ATACAATTATTCATATTTCGATCTAAAATGGTACTATGTGCTGCCATCTAACCGCTAATTGGCAGAATTACCGGCTTTTTTGAAACACGTTATTATTGATTAAATCTACTGACTGTAAGTAAAAAATGTGATAGATGGTTGAGTGCAAGTATGTATCTTACATTATCTTGTCACTCTTATCATAATGCGTGAAATCATGCGTTTAAAGTACATAATCGCATTTTCTTTGTAATATTGAAGAGATCGTAACGTCTCGTGTGAAAAAAGGCATCAATTTCGTCCTCCTGTTCAACATGCCACAACAATCAAATATTTTACGTGGTGAAGGTGAATTGTTGCCGGAACTTAAGATCTCGATGGGACAATTGTTATTAATGCAATTGACGACGCATGGTACTCGTGTAGCACATGTAAGTTCGTGATTGACTTAATTTTTGTTAATTTTGCATAATTAATCTAATAATCATAATGTTCCAGATTAATATGCGATGTAGAAAATAATTGGAATCCTAATCTAGATTTGTTATATAATTTTTGCTATACATATGTACAACTTTCTGTTATATAATGACAATAAATTTTTTTATCAGATAAATCCCCATACTGGCAAGGAGCAGACGTTCCAACATATCTTAGATACCAGCCGGAGATTAGCAGTTTATCTGCAGAGAGAAGGACTAAAGGCAAACGACACCATAGCTGTGTGCAGTGAAAACAATCTGGAATTTTGTATTCCAGTATGTGCTGCGTTTTACCTGGGTGCTATTGCCTGTCCTTTAAATCCTCTGTATAGTGAGAGAGAATTGAAACATGCACTATTCATTTCAAAGCCAAAGTATATTTTTATTTCGATGATATCGTTTAATGGCATGAGAAAAGTATTCAGAGAGTTGCATTGGTCGCCAAAAATCCTAATGCTTACTGATGGTAGCAACAATGTTTCATGGGCGAGCATGTATAAAGTGATATCGAATGTCTCCAATAACGATGCAAATGCACTCCAAGCGGCTCCTGTCAATTTAGATGATCATGTAACAGCGATTTTATGCTCGAGTGGAACCACGGGATTGCCGAAAGGCGTCATGTTGACGGACAAAAACATTACTACAGTCATATCCATATTTATGAATACTAACACGATTCCTGAAAATGCAGTTTCTCTGTCGCTACTCCCATTCTTTCATGCATACTCCTTCGTCTTGATGGTACTCGGCCTGTTAAAGGGAAATTGCAGTGTTGTATTCTCACGCTTCGAGGAAAAACTGTTCTTACAATACATTGAGAAATACAGAATTGAATATTTGCCTGTAGTACCGTCGCTTATGGTATTTCTGGCTAAACATCCACTTGTGGATAAATATGATTTATCCTGTGTTAAAACGATATGGTAAGTATACTACAAATTAGATACAAGATGTCGAAGTCTTCAAGGAAAACTGCTGCAATTCACAAAATCAAAAGTAAAAAAAACAGACATTGACGCAAGTTGAGCATATATTTGTTAATAAGCTCAAAAAGTAAGATATAAGAGAAGATTGTAAAGATTAATAAAAGATAAAAAATAACGAATAGTAAGTAATATATTCGTGAAATTAATGTAATCTGTTTGTATATTGTATGAATTATTGTAATGTAAAAGTAAAAAATTTTAAATATTTATCTATTTAGAGATATTGAAAATCATTATTTTAATAAATAAAATTATGACATTTTTATAAATTTAATCAATTTATAGAGATTCTGAAATTTAGTAACACAGACATAGAATAAGTTGTCTTCTCTTGTGGCAGTTTTCTTTTAATATTACATGCAGGAGTTCAATGGAACTATAATAAGAGCTGTGTTAAAACTTGTTTGCACATAAAATATATTTATATCAGATATTAAATTTATTTTGAAAATTACTACGATTATGCAATTATTGAAGTTGCTATTTAATTAGGAGTGGTGCAGCTCCATTATCGAAGGAAATTCAGCAGGCTGTCGCTAAGCGATTAAATATTACTAGCGTTAAACAAGGCTACGGATTAACAGAAACTACTTTAGCTGTGCTGCGATCACCAGATGAAAAAGAAAAATTAGGCAGCGTTGGCGTAATAGTTTCAGGCATGTCAGGTAAAAATCTCCTGATTAGGAAAATACAGTGTCTCTGTTTTATTTAGTAGACGTAATTAATCAATATCTACTACTATCATACAATATAGGTTGCAAATATATTTTTTCTGAGTCATATTACTTTAAAGTCGAATATTTTTTATTATTTAATTATAAATATTTACATTGCAGCATAGTATTATGGAACAGTATCAGATAATATTTATATGTTTGATAGTTCATTCCCCAATATTGATCCTTTCCCCATTTCTTTCCACAATATGCAACATTTATGATTTTAAGAGTGTATTTTTATATCAATATATATATATATTATATATAAGAAATATAATTAATAGAATATATCGACAAAGTTTGACGATATATAATACTGATATTTTTTTTTAGCAAAAGTAATACCAATTGGAGAATACGAGACGGATGAAGCTTTAGGGCCAAATTGCGAAGGAGAATTATGCTTCAAAGGAGATTTGATAATGAAAGGCTATTATAACGACGAAAAATCCACTAGAGCGATAATTGACAAGGATGGTTGGTTGCACACAGGAGATGTAGGATATTATGACGAAGATGGATACTTTTTCATTGTCGATCGAATAAAGGAACTCATCAAATATAAAGGCTACCAAGTTCCACCAGCTGAGCTCGAAGCGATTTTGTTAACTTGTCCTGGTATACAAGATGCGGCCGTAATTGGCATACCAAATGACAAAACTGGGGAGTTACCAATGGCCTTCGTTGTAAAAGAAGAGAATTCTAACATTTGCGAAAAAGATATAATTCAGTATGTTAATGGTAAGAATTTTCAGTATCATATATAGTAATGGAACTAATCTAATAACATAACAATATATAAAGTATGTCTATTACACTCCTGTCTTATCGCTGATTAGAAATTTTCATCATTTTGCAAAATTCTTGAGAAATAAACAACAAAAATGTCTTAGCATCATTAGAAGAAATAAGCACTGGACTAGTTTTCTAAGCTTTTCTTTTGCAGTGTTAAATGAAAGTCCAAAAGTCTACTTTGTAGTGTCTTCAAAAGTCTTTAATTTTCCGCTCAGTATAGTATTATTAT